AAGAAATAATTTATTAGTTTCTTAATTGAGTGTTGGAGGTACTAAATTTACCAATATTTAATTCATTTTCTAAGTGCAAAGCAAATGATATGGAATACTTACTTCTTCATAAATGACCTTGAAATATTTGCATTAAAATATGAAGTGCACCAAAGGGATAAACTGAAATTTCAACCACCTTTGATTCTTATTTCTCATTAACCAAAGTGTAAAATAGAATGAGCCACTCTTCCATAGAGGAAAACATTTGAATTCTTATCTGAACATGTTTTTTTAATGGCTGTAAACTATATATTTTAGTGTAACGAATAGTCTTTTCGTACACTGTGAAGATGTGTCTTTGCCAAGGCACCTTCTGATTGGTTTAATAAAGACCTAAATGTCCAATAAAGAGCTAAGCAGGAGGTACAGGTGGGATTTCCAGGCACAGAGAGGACTCTGGGAGCTACAGAGGCTGTGAAGTAAGTCAGACATAAAGAGGAAACAGGAGGTACAAGATGGAAGAGATTTAATGCCACATGATAGAACCTAAATTAATATAAATGGGTAATTTAAGTTTTAAGAACTAGTTAAAAGCCTAAACTATTGGGTGAGATTTCATAATTAATAAAAGTCTCCAAGTCATTATTTGGGAGTTGGCTGGTGGGACAGAAAAAGATTCATTGCGCATATTTTTATACTTACCTGACAGAGAAGATACTATGATCAAGAAGTCATTTTCCTAATGGGAACTCATCACTGGGCTTGGGATGTGTTGACGTCTTTGGCTTCTCCAAATGTGAGAACCTTGACTGCATTATTAGTGATGGTGGGAACTGTGTTTGTGGTCTCTATAAAATAAACAGAAAACACACATATTATCATTTTTTGTGTTCACAGAAAGTAGAGGAATGAAGTAACAAAATGCATCTAAATGAACCTAGAAGTCAAAAAATCCAATTGCCAGTCATATTTCTACAGTCATTTTCTCAGGAACATGTTTGTATGTATGAACAGTTTGTATGTACAGGCAAATGCTCTACAATATTTTTTAAGAAGATTGTGTCATTCTTGAGTATTTCATGTCATTCTTAAATATAAAAGAATAAAATAAAAGTTGAATAATTATTGATAGCTTTTCTTAACGTGGGAAGGTCTACACACACAAAAAAAAAGCCATAAAAGTTTGTTTCTTATTTGTCTATAGGGAGTGACTCCTAAAACATAATATAGAAACTTAGATATTTTCTAGAAAAACCTAGAAACTATTTATGCCCAGGATGTGGTAACAGTTAATAGAAACTTTAAAAAAAGTCTTAAAAGTTTCAAATGTATAGAAACATTGAAATAGTAAAAATAGTTTTTGCACATCAACCTTTTCTCAGATTAGCATGTTGATAACTATAGCACTTTTAGTCTAGATGCTTTCCATTAAGTTTCTTCTTTAAAGACAAGTTTGAACCGTTATGTTCTCTCCAATACAACAGTGAATTGCAGGCAAGCCCCATCATTCCTAAGTCTTTTTATTGCTCATTCATCTAAAAAAACAATGCCTCTTTAATACTGTCACAATATAATGACCTCACTTTAGGTAATTCCGATATAGACCAATATTATTGTATGATGTATGACTCATTTGAATGTTACCAGTTGTCCTACATCTTTTATGAAGTTCTTTTTCCAATTTGTCCCATCACCCTGCATTCACATATTTATTTAGATTTTTTTGGAGCAATTTGATAATAGGATATTCTGAGGATAAAATGTGAATTCAAGGTGAAATAAATTCAGTTTTAATCTAATATTGTGTTATGGATTGAAGGCAAAAATATATCCATAAGCTCATGTTTTTGAATGACTGACCCTTAGGAATACTAGGTTGAGAGCTGTTTGTAAAGCTCCTGGAACCTTTATGAGGTGGCCCCTTGCTATTGGATGTGTGTCATTAATAGGGAGACTTAAGGCTTTATAGGCTTCCCCTACTTCCTGGCCACTTGCTGCACCCTCACTGTGAATGCAATGGAACGAGTTGACTTTCTGTTCCTGTCATCACGCCTTATCTATCATGAAGGACTGTATCCTGAAAGTGTAAACTAACATAGACCTTTTGTTCCTTCAGTTGCTTTTACCAGGATTTTTTTCTGGTGGTTGTTTGTTTGTTTGTTTGTTTGTATTACAGTAGGAAAAAGTAATCAATATAGATTGATAGGATAAAATGTTTTAAAGATTCTAATTTGTTCAATTAAATCCTGTGATAAGATTATTTTACTAGGTCAGATTAGTACAGTAACATTGCGTGAGCATGATGACAGTTGTGAAGAAAGTTCATCTATTCAGGAGCTTTACAAGGCTAACAATCAGGGTTTCCTTTAGACATAAAAACTCTCTGTAATGTCTATTAAATCAATTTCTAAGTGACAGTATATTGATTCCCCTTTCTTGCCCGATAAGCCACGTCCTTTAATAGATCTTGATCTTGCTAACAGTAGTTTTGCTAACCACGGCGGTGTTTGGAAACATAACCCTAGAGATTTGTGAGGAGTTTTATCTTGACCACAAAACTATTGTTCAGGCCAGTCTAGTTTAGTGGAAATATGTCTATTAATTTCTAGTACTCACCAAAGTAAACAATATGGTGTAATATATTGGAACAGAATATTTTGTGAAAAAGATTCATAGTTTAATCTAACACTCATCCAATCTAATAGAAAAAGCCATAAATAAAAATAATACTTTCATGATGGATAAGAAGAATAAAGCAGAGGTGTCAGGAGAATTGTTGAACTTGTAAGTGGCAAAATTAGGACCAACTGGCAAATCTTCTGACTCAATCTAATTCTTGTCCTGGTACAGAGTAGTTTTCTCAATGTCTGGATTTTTAGCTGCCAAAAGTTTAGTAAAGGCTAGATGTATTGAAAAAGTAGTTCAAGAATTAATTTATATTATATTTATCACATAACAAATGCAAACTGTACTGGTGAATGTACATGGGACTACATGGGACTCTATAATGATCTATTCCTTTAGTTAGTCTTGAAAAAATTGTAATATTTTTCAAATTAGCAAATTATCCAATCCAAATGAGAATCACACACAATTTAGAAATGCATAAAATGTCAGTTAAGAACTTCTTGCTGTTTTTAATTTTCTTTTTAAAGACAGAGTGTTGCTCTGGAATATAGGGTGTCTTCAAACTTCTGATCATTCTGTTTAATTCTTATACATATTAGGACTATAGTGGCACACCACCAACCATACCCAGCTTCAATGTGGGCATCATTTTTACAACCATTAACTGGTTGAAGTTTTATTATTTGAATTTTATTATTATTTCTATCTTCTTTCCACAGTGTTTTGACTTGACATTACAAAGACAGATTGATGTAATTAATTGAACACACATTGTTCTCATTTAACTAATGCTCGTTAGGTTTGTTTTTGTTTGCCCTCCCCATGAAGAGCCATTTTCTTAAGCCAAGCTGTTAAACTGGTGGGTGGAATCCTTTTATTTCTTGTATTCCGCAGATAGTCATCTGGTCTATGCCACCAAGGGAGAGATTGATTTCCTTGAAAAAAATTGGTAAATATAGAATTAAGAGAAAATTAGTGTACTAATTTGAAAACATGAAAGTAACTCAGTACTAGTCATGGATTAATGACTATTATTTTCTGAGTGAATTATTGTGACTTCTCTCGTTGGAATAAATCTCACACCATTTTGTTTACTCTTGCCCTTTATTCATGGTGAATCTGTTCTTTGCTTTTCAGTTCTAAGGAAAGTTCAAGAATTGTAATGTGTGTCTATTTGGAGGTGTCAATAGTTTCCTTCCAGTCTTTCTCTAAATTTCCTCAACCTCCCCTTTTCATTTAACTTGACCCATTTTTATCAATCTTTGACATTTGTAGTCATCTACCATTTCAACTAATGTATTAGCCATTCCATACAGTTACTAGGATGTTATTCTAGTAAACTATGAATAAACATATCGCAGCCATTGCGTATTTTCCTCTTACTTTTTGGTTAGTATAACTGTCACTTCCAGAGCCTTGGGCATTTACTCTGTAGATGCATCCACATTAGATATGTGTACCTTAATTTGTGTTAAACACAGTGCTGTGTGCACAGAAGGGTCTTCATACTTAATAATAAAAAAGAGCTCTACTGAAGGAAGATTTAGACTTGCAGTTTTCAATAGCCTAACTCTTCATATAATTGCTGCTTCTGACGGCTGTTTTCCCCATAAGGATTATTCCAAGAAGCAAAATCAACAAGAATGCCAACAAATCAATTACCAAATACATATGAAACGTCCCAGGAAAAAAAACATGCATGTAGGTTGTATGAAATATCTAAATAATATGTGTAATAAAATTGTGATTTGAAGTATTTAATGTAAAATAATTGCCAAGAAACTGTGAGACTTATACTTGTACTGTGCATGTATATTTTGTTTCAATAGCAAATTGGAGCAGTTGTAAGTGAAAACGTCTGTCTCATAAACATAAAGTATTATACGACTCTGTAAGCAAACATTTGCTTATGCCATTTTTAAAGTGGAAGGAAAAAGCAGTTGTGAAAGAATTATTAGCCTTGGTCTGTTTGTTTTGTTGTCTAGAATAGTGCACTGTCTTTGAAAACACAAGAGGAAGAACCTTGAAGACACTGTTTCCATAGTATGCTATTGGCTTTCATTGAATGTAATTGAGATTTTAGATTTCTTATTTCTGTTTTCTAATGGCATAAAAATTGACAATCGTTGTAGAGTGGTCAATGAATCAGAAGATCAATTTGGAGGAATAAGTACCTTAAGTTGAATGATAATGAAGTAAATTTTACAAGGAAAAATCTCATCAATGAATCTTTTTTAAAGATATATTTTAAATATGTAAAATACATTGTAACTTGCATACATATGAGTTTTTTCTTCATGTATGCCTGCAGAAAGAGAGCACATCAGATTGTGAGCAGTCATGTGGTTGCTGGGACTTGAACTCGGGACCTCTGGAAGAGCAATCAGTGTCCTTAACCAATAAGCCATCTCTCCAGCCCAATCATCAATGACTCTTTAGAGGACAATACCCACATAATTTTTTCAAACTGTAAGTGAATAATACATTCCCAAGGACAAAAGGAACATCGCAATTCCATCAATCAAGTGACTAAATGAGATTTTATGAGGTGGTGTTTTATAGCACTGGGCATCTACATGCTAAATGGAAATATATAATATTTTTTCTAATTTATGCTTATGTTTCAAATTGACTTGTCATAAGAAGAATTTTGATGTTTAAACTCACTTTCCAGATTCTAATGTTGGACTGCTTTCTTTGATACTTCTTTATTTTTCCTTCGGCAAATCAGTCACAAAAATAAAGTTATTAAATATAAAACTCCATTAGACTCAAATGGCAATTGGTAGTGGTAATGGCCTTGAGAAATTCATGCACTAAATATTAGTGAGAAGAAAGAACAGATAGGAGAAATGCACTTAGGCAAGGTGGAATTTGTGATTATATGTAATAGCATTTTAGAATTCCCATATGCTGTATTTTATTTTGGATTCCCATTTTTCCCCTATGAATTGAATCTGAAAACACACTGCCACCAAATCTTAAGCAGCCATGGATGATTTGTCTTTATTAGGACTTCTCTTTAAAACACAGACCTGTGTGCTCTGCCTTTGAAACAGTTCTGAACAGTGATGTAGATGCCATTCTGTATTAGAAAATGAAAAGAATAAATCCCTTACACCTGACATGTGGTTTCATTCACTCTTTATGCTCTGCATTTATGCTGCTGTTATAGAAGTATACTCTGGACTTCACATCCATAGGCTCTAAAGATAGAGCCTGGACACATACTGCTTTTGTGGGCCCATGGATTTTGTCAACAAGTCAAACAACGACAACCTCTCTGTAATGAAATGAAATGATATGTTCCTTCTAAGGCTACCTGGAAGTAAAATACAAAGGAACTCACTTAAAAGTCAATTAATCATTGATTGATTATTCAATACGCATTTTAGTCAACATTGCAATGTGGACAGGGAGGAAGTCCTAAGATCTGACACCTTGCTGAGAGCTATTGCTACCAACAGCTGCTGTTGGGGGAGAGTCAGTTTTCTTTTCTTTCCCTTTTTCTTTTTCCTTTTTTTTTCAAAGTTTATTAAATTATGAAAGTTTCCATTTCCGCCCCTCCTCCTAACACCCTCCCACTCCCCCCTCCCCCTCCTCCTCTCTCTCCATCCCTAAGAGCTGTCAGGGCTTCCAGCCCTGTGGGAAGTTCAAGTTCCTCCCCCCTCCCTTTCTTTCTTTTTTTTTTTTTTATGTTTTTCGAGAAAGGGATTTCCTATGCCTTGGCTGTCCTGGAACTCGCTCTGTAGACCAGGCTGGCCTAAAAGTCACAGAAAACACTTGCTTCTACCTCCTAAATGCAAGTATTAAAGGCGTGTGCGGGGGAGGGGGGCGGGGAAGGCCCCTAGCACTGGGAATAGAACCTATCCCTGATGTATGAGCTGGTTCTTTGGAACCTATTCCCTATGCTATGATGCGTTGTTCAAACTTAAGGCAGCGGGAGAAGAGCTTGATCCTGTCTCAACTTGATATGCCATGCTTTGCTGATTTCCATTGGAGGCTTTATCCCATCTGAAATGAGAAGAGGAGGAAGAGGAATAGGAGGGGCAGGGGGAGGTGGAGGAGGAGGAGTGGGTGGGGAGAAAGCTAGAAGGGAGGCAGAGGGAGGAAGCAGGAAAGGAGGAGGGACATGAATTGTGGTTGATAATTTAAAATAAAAAAGAATGATGAATAAAAAATGAAAATGAAGAAATAAAGTAGAATAAAAAGTTAGTCCTCAAATGCAAACAGTCTATTAATCAGCTTATTGGTATGTTTATTAAACATTGAGGTTTCTGCCTGTATGTTTCTTCAGATTGTGAATATAGTACTAAAGAAATTGGGTCCCTCAAACAAATAGCTTTTTAGTGGAGGTAATGGATAAATCCAAGCAATTGCATGTTATAGAATCTATAAAAAATATGTCAACAATTTAGTATCTAGGTTCAACATCATATGGTCAATTTCATTTTCAGAGAAGAGAATATTCCAAGCCAATGAAATTTCATTAAAAACAATAAAATAATAGTTTCAAAGAAAATGAAATACTTTAAAATAGAATTAATACTATTAATTATAGTATTAATAATTAATAATAGTTTCAAAGAAAATGAAATACTTTAAAATAGAATTAATACTAAGAAAGAATAAATTCCTATAAGATTGTGAGTTGTTATCTACTTCCACGAGTGTATAATGAGTGCCCTTAACATTGCAAAAGGTTTTCTGTAAAGCATTATAGCTAGAACTAAAATACAGGTTACCTTATGCAATAACTTTCAGAGACAGGAAAACTCAAGACACTTCAAAACCGCCTTTGCACACTGTGCATCTTTTCATTGGAATTCAACTTGTTTCTATGTGTACAGCAATGTGAAGAGCAAATTTATTTATATTGCATGTATTCTATTCATAGAAATCTGAAGGATCCGTGACGAAAATCCTAGAAACTTGACATTAACCACCTCACCGTACAGGTAACATAGTTCTTTTACTCAATTCCTGCTGGAGCGATCCAGCCATGACTGGTATGGATTTAAAAGGACTCCTAGATCTTTCCCTCATATTCCACATTGTTGGGCAGTATTTTCAGTGACACTCAATCTGTCACAGCTGTTCATGCATTTAAATGAAAGTTAAAGAACTCTTTTTTGATCTAGTTTTAGTGTTTCCCTAATTTATATGCGCGACTCTGTTCTAGAAGAGCTCGCTAAGAGTAATTTTCTCAGTTTTATCTGTCATTGGTATTTTTATGCCTTTATTTCTCAGCCCTTAAAATGTGACACAAATAAAAACAGCTTTCTAAATAAAAAAATTGATCATTTGGTAATACTTACCCAATAAACCATCTCCTTCTGTGAGTCTAAAGGATACTCTATAAATTGGATTTTAAAGAGAAAAATCACACATCTCATTTTATTGGGGTATACAGAAAGCAATATTCTTAGCTGTGTGTTAAAGTTAAATTAGGAAATCTGACACTCTTTGTTCAGATGGCTGGAAACATCTGTGTACACAGTTATCTTCTGGTGATCCTGGGGCTCCTGTATTTCTCCTCCTGGGATTTGATTAAATGTTATTGTAAGGATTACCTCTTATTGAATTGAATGGACTCATGACCCATCTAACACACCCGCAGGTCTAAAGTCTGTCTTTATTTAATGTGTTAATATGTCCTAAACATTCACAACCTCTATAGTGCTCTACAATACACTGTGCTGGAAAAAAGTAAATTATTTAGAAGAAAAATTATAGTTTTTCTTGCACAGAAATTTCTTGAATTTTGTGTATGTGTGTGTGTGCATGCATGCATGCACATGTGCACACACATATGCAGTAGTACACACATGCATATACATGCACAGATAATTTACCCATGCATGCAGATGTGGAGACCCGAGATGAACACACTGGTATATTTTACTGAACTGCTTCTCCACATTATTTTCTTTTTAAGTCAGGGTCTCTCATTAAACCTGCAGCTTTCCATTTCTTTTAGACTGTCTAATCACCAAGCCGCTGAATCCTCGTTTATCTGCCTCTCCAGTGCTAAGGCTAAAGATATACTCTGCCAGGTGCCCACCTTTCACGTGGTACCAGAACTCTGGTCTTAATGCTGGCATAGCAATTTCATTATGCCCTGAGCCACCTCTCCATCCTTTGTGGTTTTATTTGCACACTAACTCATTACAAATGTGATGCACACAGTAATTACTTATTCTTATTGATCCTTAAAGCAGAAATATATTTTTGTTTATATACTTGAAACAATTTTGTAGAAATATCATTTAAAACTTGTGATCCATTTGATGCCCTTTAGAATAAGGAAGAAAAATCTGAAAAGGAATAATAGTACTGTGGATATAGCCCAGAAGAAATAATATGCATCTCAGAGACACGTAGGTGAGATAATTTATGTTATTATTAGACACAAACACATTCACACATACTATAAAATGCTATTCTGGAATCTAACCACAAAATGTCTTTTTACCTTAAATGAATTTCAAATAAGGTTTATAGATTTTCCCCTCTCCTTTTTTTCTGTTTCTGATACTGCATATCAACTGGTTATCCAAATGTATATTGCTAGGAATGATTAATTCTTTTTTCTTGAGTTAATAAGTAACATAATGATACCATATTTAGTGCTAGCCCTATGCTCCTCCAGATAACAAGAGGAGAAATTATCTCTGAATCTCCTGGTAGGTAAAGTATTTAAACATATCTCTTAGGCAGCTGAGACAATACAGGACATTCATCCAATGTGTAATGGTTAAGACTAATCATCATTTCTATATCTTTATACATTTACTAATTGTAGTTGTATGGAAGTTCCAAACTCTTCTACTTATTTTGAGATACGTAATGCATGTTGTAGACTGTAGACATCCTATGTTGCCACACAATCCTACAACTAATTCTTTCCATTCAGCTGTGCTTTTCTACTGTGATCTGGTTTCTGTCTATTTCTGGCCTCCTGTGACCACTATTCTATCCTTGACTTCCATGGGATTTGATGTTTTGGATTCTACAAAAGAGAACGTATTGTGGTGCCATATGGATAGACATAGGGGTAGGCACAGAAAGAAAATAACACACATAGTTTTGATTTTTATATCTAGCCTTTAAAATCATAATCTTGTCACACAGGAAAAATAAGAATTGTTAATTTGATGACTTTTAAATACACGTACATTTTATTTATTTTAGTAACATGAATTACTTGTACATATCAAATACGTTCAGCATGATGTTTCTACAGAAGCATACAAACATCTGTTGATTAAATCAGTGTAATTAATAGTTACCTTATTGCTCTTTCAGATTTAGTGTGTTCAAATTATTTTCTTCTAGAAATTTCATAAATAAGATGACAGATTAACAATAGTCCTTTAAAATACAGATCTTATTGTTTCTTATTCGTCTTCCTCTATTATCCCATGGTTACCTAATTCCACACAGAAAAGTAGCTGAAACAGAACCACTTGCATTTTGAACCTTTCTCTGTTTCCATTAATTTCAGCTGCAGGGGGTTATTCTGTTTGTATTCCGATATCAACAATCATTGTTTTGTCGCATATTTATTTCCTACTCAAAGTCGTTTCAATTTGAATAGTTTTAGCCTTGAAAACAGTTGCAAATATTGTACTAGAGTTTGCATATACCCCCTGCCCTATGTGTGCCATCATTCAATTATTGCATTAGTGTCATGGATTTCTTAACAACTGATGAGTCAAAACATTATTTTCAGTTCCTCTCTGATCCTCACAGATTAAATTAGCGTCTTCCCTAGTACCATTTTTCTGGTGCAAAATATTATCTAGAATAATCTTTTTATTTAATACCAACCGGATCTCCTTTGTCTCCTCTAGATTGTGAAAGTTTCTCAAACTTTCTTTATCTTGGATGATAATTTTGAGGGTCACTGGTAAAATATTTTATAAGATGTCTGTTAATCAGGGTCTCGCTAGTGATCCCCTTTATGGTTAGATAGAGATTACGGGCCTTTGAGTGAAACAGTATAGGACATCAGCATTAAACATGCCACTATACTCCATGCAATAGTGCCAGTGCCAGTGTTAATGTTGATTTCTGGTAAGATTTCATGCTTGCCTGGCTTCTGCACTGATGACTCTCCTACAGACACACATTTTCACTAATCTAATATTTGGAAATAAGCCACAAATTAATACAGGATAGAAGTTTATATTTTACCTCTGTGAGAAGGAAACATCTGTTTAAATTCGTTGGATTTCCTCTACATTGATGTTTTTACTTTTATTTATTGCAGGGCTGAAGCAGAGATATTTAATTTTTTTAAAGATTTATGTATTATGTACACGGTGTTCCACTTCCATGTAGGCCCACATGTCAGAAGAGAGCACCAGACCTCATTACAGATGGTTGTGAGCCACCATGTAGTTGCTGGGAATTGAACTCAGGACCTCCGGAAGAGCAGTCAGTGCTCTTAACCTCTGAGCTATCTCTCCAGCCCCCAAGATAATTAATTTTTGTTTAGAACATGTTTCAACACTGTGATATGTTTTTTGTTATTTGACTTGGTTCATCCTACTCTGACAAGAAAACTTTCTGTTCACCTTTGAGTTGGTCCATTTCTTTGGATTTTTTATATTGAATTTCTGAGCCTGAAGAATGTTAAAAGTTTCTTTCCTGTAACAATAAAATTTTATTTCATATACTCCCTGTAAGAGGTGTATATTCAGACTCATTGTTACAGATCCCTATTCATTTTATTGAAGAATGGTTTTAAAGTCAAGTTCTGGGATCTAGATACTGACAATACTAGTAAGTATAATTCATTTTATCATTGTTTGTGAACAGAGACAGAATATATATACAACATGTGTATAATATATAGCGTATGAAATAATATATGATATATATTAAAAATATATTTCCACATATAATATAATATATGCATGCAAAATATCCATGCATATCTTTCTCACTCTGGATATATAAATCTGTACATATGCATATATGTATACATATTTGATGAAATGTATGCTTAGTGTATAATTTAACCTAAAAAATAAATTTAAAATAACTTTTCAGAAATTGTTAACTGTAACATTAGAAGCAGAGTTATCCTTATATACATCTTCTTTTGCCTTTAGACCTAAATTTAATATTGCCAAGGTCATTTGGGTCAGTGCTTCTTTTATTTCATACCATGCAGTTAAATTACAAAATGAAATAAAGCACAATAATTCTGTATGCTTTTTTCATCAGTCTGCACATCTTTAAGTTACAGAAAGGAAGCAAGATTACTTCTAGGTAAAACTTTTGAATTTGAAAAAAATAGAGCTACTTTCTTGATGCCATTAGGTCCTGAGTGAACCCTGGTACATTTCCTCAGGTTCTTCTGTCAGCTTAATTCTGTCCAGTGGAGGACTGGATGGAAAATTTCATCCACTCCACTAAGATAAGATCTGATGCTGCTTGCCGAGAGCTCCATATCCCACGGAAAATAGAAAAAGCATTAAGAACCCTGTGCTTCCTCCCGAGTACTGAAGCTGTGCTGTGACTATTGTTTCGGCATAATGAATCACCTAGGGTATTTCGTTGACACTCGTGTTCCTGTCTGTCAGAAAGAGAGGGCAAGTATCAGGTGTGGAGAGATGGAGACTAAATTGCCATATAAAAAGATAATTATTGTTTTAATGCTAGAAAAGTTTGAATAGTTAAAAGTAAAGCCTGCTCACTATTTGTTTACCACCCTAAAACTTTCATAAGCATCAATATATCTTGACAAATTTATCACCCAGTCTTGTGAGGATTATTGAGCTGTCATAAAAAAAATTTAAAACTCTGATTCATAGTGTGTGAGTCATGCTGAAAATGCCAAACAACTATTGTATTTTGTAATACTTGGTATCAGAGAGAAAATAGTTGTTCATTTTGTGTAAAAGTCTGAAAATTTTAGGTTAAATTTTTTAGATCATTTCCAACTTATATAGAATAAATTGAGAATTATTAACCATTCCTAGGATAGTACATACCTTCTCAAATGCGGAACACTTACCAAAGGTTTTATGGAGAAATAGAAAACACTAAATAAATATCATAAAATTAAATTATACCCACTAAATCAACCACTTCTTTAGACTCAATAGTCCACAAGGGCAGGGCATTATTTCATTTTCATAAATATAAAATACACCTTGAAAGCCATGGAAATTCTCTGAGACCTAGAATGCCATGGAAGAATGCAGTAATTGATATGTTATTTGCTTAAAGTTTGTGACTTGGAGAGTAAAATCAATTTCTTGCAAAGTCCATTTCTATACATTAGCATTTGCATATAGTGTTTAGGGATTGTTAGTAGTAGAAGAAGGAAAACTATTGTTCAGTTAGTGTAGCAAGGACAGTGAACACCTTGAAAAGTAAAGTTCTTGCAGTGTTCTGTTCTTAAAGGTGAAAGCTTTGCCTGAGAAAAAAAAGGCTTTGCTGGTTATACCATACAGCAGAACCTTTGGTACTGCCCCACCCTTCACGGTTTCAATTTGTGTTATGTAACTGTTTAGAAGACGTTAGAATCAGGAATGGTGGTTTTCCTGCTAAGTATGCTTCTAGAAAAATGTCTTTTGTAGTCAACCTTTTCTGTGTGCAAAAGTCTCATGTCAGTTTTAAGAAAGATATTTTTATATGGTACAAGGAAAAGAGATAAAATGTCTAATACTAGCCACGTTACACATTTGGTCCAATTTACCATAGATTATCAAATAATGATGTTTTTACTTTCTCCTTTAAATGTTCTGATATCTTTTGTACAGGTGGAAAGGCTGCCAGGCTAACCACTGGAATATTGGGAATATTCCAAAATTCCTAAATTCATATTACTAGGGTTTGGGAAACATAAAGATAAAAGCTAACCAGGATCTTATGAAAACTGGGCTTTTCTTTTGCTTATATCTCTAGGTTATTTCAAAGAATCATGCATGATACCTCAACTACTGGTTATTATTTTTGATATTGCATAGGTCAGTGTTGATTTTCTATTTCAACATTAAATTGATCTTTATTTTATTAGATATCACCTTATGTTAATAGGCTTATTAATACTTCATAGGTGTCACAAGGGTCTACCTATAGAAATAAGTCAATTCATAAAAGTTTGACTTTTTGGAGATTGATAAGGATGTAAGGAGAAAAATCATTGAACAAAATCATGTGAACAATGGACTCTCCAGTTTAACTGTGAAATAAATGTTGACCTTTATATCACAATAGCTACATGTTTATGGACATTTATTCCACTGGTTTTACATTTCCACGGATTTCCACTACAGGTATTTATTTGTCTTCTCCAATAATCTAGGGATCTACCTTATTAGATTTGAT